AAATTGTCTTGAACAGCCTTTAGGGCGCCGTTCAGATATTCCCTTGACACAAAGTCGGGTAATATAACACCTGGATCACTTAGATTACCAGTTGGAACAACAGTTGAGTAAACTGATGTGCCTATGTTCAATGTTGGCGTAATGTTAGCATTGGTAGGACTTCCGACCTGTCTTCGTGAAATGTTAAATGACATCACTCTGGTCGTTCTGGCTAGTTCACTAAGAACTGCACTTGGAGCAACAAATGCTCCTGACTCATGTGTACCTAAGTGTATCGGCTCTAGACTCGAGGTGCACAGAATCGAAGTCGTAGGCTGGGGCAGCGGCCTACTTGTTTCAATAACTACATTCTCCATGTGAGAAGTAGTTAGCGAATGTGCTAAATCCCCGTGAGAAGTTGAAATAGTCGATTGTTGAGAACTGACTGAGTGGATAGGGAGGGTGTGCATTTGCATAGCTGTGCTAGCTATATCTTGTTCAATACCAACATTCAACGTATGAATGTCAGTAGTAGATGTGGTTACCCGACTAAGTATATCAGTTTGGGATGGAGCTTGTTCTTCTTTTTCTGCTCCAGTCTCACTCTCACCATCTTTTTCTTCTTCCCTTTCTCTCATACTCTCTTCATTTTCTACTTTGACTCCCTCAACACCACCTGCACTTGATATGCCTTGGAGATAACGATCATACTCGTCGGCTTCTTCAACATTGAATGATAAAGATTGTAGACTAGGACAAGTTTGTTGAGTAGCAAACTCAGGAAAGATCCTACCAATATCATCATCAAATGTCCCAAAGTGTTGTGCATCATCATCATTACCAGAATCCGCTCTTTTATCAGATTGAGTAGCTTCAGAAGACGGTGAAGCTCTAGCAGTTAAAATATGTGGCTGATCAGAAGCTCCCCGCACCGATTCACCCCTCTCTATTACATTTTCCCTCAACACACAGCCCTGTTCAGGTACCCCTTGTACTTGAACACGCTCATCTACTTCTAAAACTCTCTCAGCAGAGGCATGGGGTGATCCTTGGGCAAGTTCAGCCGGTTCTGGCTGAACTATTGGATCTATCACTCTCTTATAGTCTATCACACACCGAGCATTCTGATCAGCTAGAGCGAGCAATTCTTGTGGAATAGGCATGATGGAATCAAGATCTTCAACTTCTTTATG